CCCTTTCGAGCAGACTCATTCCCAATAGTGTTTACATCGGACAACCTTCTATTAGACTCAAGCACCACATGTGATCCGTCACTACACCCATTTCTTCATGCACCTTCTCTTCCTTGACCTCGGATCAACTATGACTATAACACCAATATTTATGTTGAGGCACTGAATCTGCTATAAAAGTCTATTGCACAATTTCAGCAAGCTCATTCACCATGAGTGTGATGGAAATGTTAGCTCCAATTCAGCTCTGCTATGTGCCTTTGTTGTTGTAATCCATAAACACATCTTGTTCTGATTAGCAAAGAAACGGTGGTGTGTGCCTTTTAAATGACTAGAGAAATTTGAGGTTGAAAGGTAGTGGCTAGTTTTAAATCTTGTGTTGCCGTTGATGACAAACAATCCTCAATTCTGAAATTTCATATATCTTGCATTTTGAACACTATTAACAATAACAACTCTAAGTTACAACTTCTTACTGTCTAAATGCCACACTTGAATTGTACAAATTATTTGTCCACTACAAAATACCAACATAAGATTAGTATTGATGAAATCCATAAATTTATGAAAATTTTACTTTAACTTATGAACACCAGACCATTTGTGTTTCTGCATTTAAACATGAAACATTTCAATAGTAACTATTTTAATGAAAAATAAACTTGAAATATTAATATGCATTAACACTTGGTTTACTAATAGTAGTGTTATTTTTATTTATTAATCCAATTGATCAAATGGAAGTTTATAATTATAAAAATTAACTAATAGATGAGAATATACTAGGTAGTGTTTAGGAAATTTTATAAATTATAAACATGTTTATAAATAATAAATAAAATATTAATATAAATAAATAACAACAGTTAGATGGAAGAATATCCTAAAATATCCAAAAACAATTTAAGTATATTCACTACCATCCCATTCCCCTCAGGTTTGATTAAGTAACCAAAACATTATTTATAATATAAAAGTTATAAATGAATACAAATTACTTTATATATTGCCAATAGTAACTTTTCTTTAAGTTACTCTTCAAGAAGCAATAAAATATGACATATTTTAATTCATGGTTGTGATTATTCTAAAAGTGGACTATATTTAATCATTAAATCAATGTAGATCATTTAACTACAATGCCTTGAAAGAAATTAAACTTTTTAATGAAATGACAGAAATTTTGGAAGGTAAGGAAAATTATATATTATAAACTAAAATTTATATTAGGTATTTGGAACAAAAATATTATTATTTACCAAATGCATATATGGTACATAGTTTTAATTATTTTATAGTAAGTATTAATATTAATATTTTATTTTGTTTCAGTGTTAAATTATAGTCACCATTGAGCTAATGATATTAAAGTATATTCTTTTAGTGTAATGAATATTTCTAGAATATCCAAGTATATTCTAGGATAGTTTTCAATCTAATGGTTGTGACTTTCTCATATTAATTTTTGGTTTGCTTAAGCAAATCTGTGGTAGTGGATATACCTAGAATATGCTTGAATATTCTAGAATATTCTACCATCTAACGGTTGTTATTCATTTAGATTAATCTTGTATTTATAATTTATAAACTTTCCTAAACACTTTTTAGTATATTCTAGTTTATTCTACCATCTAATAGTTGATATTCAATAAAATTAATCTTATGTTTATAAATTATAAACAATTTTAAAATTCCATTTGATCAATGAGATTAATAAATAGGAATAACACTACTATTAAGCAAACCAAGTGTTGTTGCATGGAATGCACAGCAAATTATTTTTATAAGTTCTATAATTCTTTTGTAATAAGAGTTAACTAGAACTAATATACCTTTTTTATAGTTATTGTTTAAAGAGAAAAAAAAAGTCCATTATTTTACTTGCAGAACTTCATCATTTTCATCAAACATCTATGCTTATTATACCAATAATAAGCAAATTTATCCCAAAAGGATCATTTCTATAGCACCACTTACTCAAAATATCTCTGACTTGATATTTTCTTACTTAGAGAAGCTTTGGGAATAATAATACACTGTCTCCCAAAGAGCTTACCTAAAGTCTGAAGAGCACAATAAGTACTTCCTTTTTATTCTCTTACATGACATAATAAAATAACACAATCTACACATAGAAACACTTTTTTTTTGCAACCTGTTGTTTAATATTTTTCTTTGCAACTAATTTTAATCATTATTCACATGTCGCTATTCCCTTCTGTTGGTGTCATGGTATCTTGGAGAGGGATAAACTTTTATCAATTAGTACAAATTCTATATTGGATTGAGTTTCTCCTACACAGTGAGATTTAAGCTGAAAAGGTCCAATGTCAACTTAGTTTTAAAAGTCAACTTATATCCAAGCAAAAACACAAAGCTGCTTAATGCTGCAAATTATTATTATCAATAGTTTATGATATCCCGTTTCTAATTTTGCGATTATGAAGAAAGTCAACCAAGCTCTATGTAATGTGCTTGAAAAGATTGAACTTGTCAGTCAGGATCGTGGGTACACACAATGAATCCCCCCTTTCCAGACGCCCAGCCCTGGATCACCCGAATTGTGATCCTCTTCATCCTGATCCAGGCTTTCCTAGCCGCTGGGAAGCTCCTCATGCACGCACAGGACGACGATTTTCCTCTCACCAATGCCGCCAGCAACAAGCTCCACGCCAGGTTCTTATCTCTCATTACTGCCATCCCTCCCAAGCTCACTTACGATGGAGCCACGGATCCATACTTCCGGGGCCAGGCCATTGTTGACACCTTGTTCCTCCTGGAATCCAATTTCTCGCTGGTTCTCAACCTCTACTTTTACAACGTCGAGTACTGCGGCCCAAACTTTAGCCCCGACTTTGGTGGCACTGGCAGCAAGCTTCGTGCTGGATTCACGGCTCTCCTGCCGGATCTCCGAGGTCTCATGAACTTGAGCTATGGAGCGGCCTATGTCGCCCAAGGACAGTTCCAAGCCGGATACTACATCAAGGGCATGAACTTGAGAGGAACTAATGGATCGTGCTCGTCTCTCCGGGTGGAAAATTCCACGGATCATATTGGCTACTGCTACGACTACGAAGACACGCGACTGAGTTACAGTGTTTTCGACAGGCTCTACCCGGGTTGCCGGATTCAATCTGCTACAAAGGCCGAGTACGTGCTGGAGATGCGAGAGGACTGCAACGCTGTGTTTAGCGACACCACTACCAACGAGGTTTTGTGGCAGTCGAAAACGAAGGGAAGCGGAAGGGACTGCGAGCTTGTTCTTGAAAAGACGGCGACGCTAGCTGTGTATGATCGAAACGGGACTGTCTTGGCGAGGTTTGGGACGAACAACTCCACGAATGCGTCCTTGTTTGCGGTCCAGGGAGATAGAAACATGGTGATCTATGCCATCAGCAACATGAAGACTCCAAAGGCGGTGTGGAGCTCACACACTTTCAAAGGCGAGCTTTTGGAAGTTACGATGTGAATCTCTTACATGCTTCTTCTTTCTCACTAGATCCAACTTCTCCGAATGGATCGACGCCGCAGCCAAATGGTACCAGCTCTGTTTCGCAGCCTTCGTTTAGCTCCAAGTCGAGGCGAGGGATTCGAACGATTGCAGTCTCCTTAGGAGCATCTCTCGTTGGAGTGGCACTGGTGATTTTGTGTGTTGTGCTGATTTTGCGAAAGAAAAGAAATCGTAAAGCTAGCAGGGAAGCGTTGAGCTGGCTACCACCCGGTTCCAAGGCCAGGAAATACTCGTACGAAGAGCTCCAAGAGGCTACCAAAGGATTTCACAAGGACAACTTAGTAGGCAGAGGCGGATTTGCGAGTGTGTACAAGGTAGGTCTTTGTTTCTTTCTTTCGAGAAGTTCCTCGACTTTTGATCACACACAGGGAGTTATAGACAATCACTTCGTTGCCGTCAAATACTTGACTAGCTCCGACTTATCAGACAAGGCAAGGCGGGATTTCGAGAACGAGGTGTCTACGATTTGCCTCCTCCAGCACAAGAATGTTGTCAAGCTTTTTGGTTTCTGCTCTGAGAAAGAGCACAAGCTCATCGTCTGCGAGTTCATCGAGAATGGAAACCTATCGGAGGCTTTGTTTAGTAAGTTTCGCTAGATCCATGAAAGAGTTATCATGCTTTCTGTCTCGGCAGGCTCTCCAGACAAAGGTTTGGAGCTAAATTGGACAGCCAGATACAACATCTGTGTGGGAGTTGCACAAGGTCTGGCATACTTGCACGGAGAAACATCACAGGCAACCATCGTGCACAGAGACATCAAGGCCCTTAACATCCTTCTAGCAAGCAATCTCGAGGCAAAGATCTCGGACTTCGGCCTGGCAAGACTGATCCAGGAAGATCGGAGCTATATCAGCACACGAGCAGCAGGAACAGTGTAAGTTTTTTGATGTCCAAAATCTTCAACTTCCATGGAGATCGTTTCCAGTGGCTATCTAGCTCCAGAGTACGCTCTCTCCGGCCAGCTCACCGAGAAGGCCGATGTCTACTCGTTTGGGATCCTTGTCCTGGAGATCTTGAGTGGAAGGATAAACATGGATTTCACACTTTTGGATGGCGATTACTTCCTTCTCGAACGGGTGAGTGGTTTTAAACTCTATATCTTCGTCTAAGATCCTTCTTCCAAACTAGGCGTGGAATGTCTTCCAGAGCGGCCACCTCCGGGAGATGATTGACAAGCGACTGGATGTGGGCGAAGAGAGAGATATTCATGAGATGGAGCGCGTGTTCTTGGTGGCTCTCCACTGCACGCAAGCCGGCGGCAGCAAGCGCCCGTCGATGTTTAGAGTGGTGGGAATGCTCATGGGAGACATGGAAATCGGTGGCACCATCTCCAGGCCTGGCTTCCTCGTTGATCTGAGGCAAAACCTCGAGCAGTCCAAGTCTTTGACCAAAACTTGACCACGTTTGCGTTATTTAACTGAAGTGGTACTTTTGACTGTGTTCAAATGATCAAAGAAGTCTACTGTGGCAGTGTCGCATGATCGCTGGGAACCAATGCAAAGCCAGGATTTCTATTTGATTGGGAAGAAAATGAGCACTAGAAGAAAAAGAGCTCATATACAAATGTCACTTGGAAGTTTGGATGGATTCATCCTATATGCCAATCGCCTCTTGCACCATGATTTCTGGCAGGATTTCTATGCAATATGTGCATATGCCAGGTGATATTCCCTTCAAGTCTGTGTAAGACCATGCCTCTTGCAAGTGGGATTCATTTACCCAATTCAAGATGCTCAATAGCTTTCACCACTTGATCGATCATGCAACACAGTTGGAATCGCTAGATCCATCTAGAATCGTGGGACTCAAGCTTTTCACTAGTGGTTGTACTACTTGCACCTCCTGTTTTACTTCCACGGAAGAAGGTGATGAAGCTTCCACCTGCAAAAACCGTGTTCTTAGATTCCAAAACAAGAAGAAACAAGATTGATACGTACTTGGGGTGGCGGACTTGACCCAGAAGATTGCGGCTGGGATTCTGGCCCTGGCTCGGCATTGTCCTCCCTGGTTGCTTTCGGAGCTACTTGGAGTGGCTTGTAAGGAGCTTCGGCTGCTAGAGACGGTGGGAAGAACGCAGGGGCTCCATCCTGACCAGTGTAGCCTCGGAAGGGATGCATTCCTGGAGTTGCGTACTGAGCAAACGGCCTCTCCACGGTGGAGCTAGGAGGAGAAAAGTATGGGAAGTAACCAGCGGCTGGCGGCCTGTTTGCAAACATTGCGTAAGGATGAATGCCGTAAGGCGGCGGAAGAGGCAAACCGGGAGGAAGGAAAGGAATTGGCGGTGGTGGAATTTGCGAGCCTTGCGTTGGTGGTGCTTGAGGCTGCTGCTGCTGCTGCTGCTGTTGTGGCTGAGAGGATGGAGGAGCTGCTGGTGATGGAGACGAAGAGACGAGAGGAGGAGGACCAGCAGCAGCGGGTGCTGCTGGGACTGGGAGAGGATATGGAAATGCGGACGCACCGAGCATGAGAGAGGGATCCACCGGCCACGACAGCGCGAGCCGGAGTCTCTGTTGGAGTTGCGAGTTGAGTTGGTCCGTCTCGGACTTGAGAAAAGCTTTCTCTTCTCTTAGCTCGCTCTTCTCCTGTGACAGCTGAAATAGAAACAAGCCGGTCCGTCGACAAGTTGAACCAGGAAAAGAGAAAAACTTACGTCGCGGGATTCATCCAAAAGTGCTGCATGCTCTTTCTTTAGCCGCTTCACCACGGCTCGTAGCTCGTTTAGTTCCTGAACACTATCGCTCAAAATTGTTGCTTTGTCATTTTTAGGCCTGTCTGGATCTGGAGCAACCAAGGAAGAGACGAAATAAGATGGTGAAAGACGAGAGTCGAGATACGGCACCTAATGCACTGGCGAGCTCGGTAAATTGCTCGTTGAGCTTGTCCCTTCGCAACTTCTCCCTGTCCGCCTTGTGGACTCTCCTCACGGATGCAAGGTCACCCGCATCGTTTGCAGCGGATCCACACCTTAGCCTGGAAAGATTGAAAACTAGTATCAGATGCGAGAAGAGGAACGAGGAAGAACAAAAAACTACAGCCACAAAGAAAAGGAAAACGTTTGCAAGAATTTAGCAAACGTGGATCAACCAAAGGAAGGCATGGTGCATGGAAGAGAACCACAAACCAAAGGAAAACGTTTGCAAGAATTCAGCGTGGATCAATCAAACAAAGGCATCGCGAATGGAAGAAAACCACAAAAACAAAAGACAACGTTCGCGCATTCGTCAAGAAAGAAAAAAAAAGAAAAAAGGAACGAAGAATTCGCATCACTCCAGGATCAAGCAAACGACGAAATCTCCAGGAAATGTTAAGAGCGATAGAGTTACCCCGGCTGGTCGGCTTGTGGTTGGAATTGCTGTGGCGGAAACTCTTGGAGGCCAGCGGGAGGAGAATCATCGAAACCAGCAACCATAGCTTGATGGAACGCCTGATCGATGAAAGCATCCTGGCCCAGCGGAGGCAAATCCGGCGCGTAGAGATGCTGCTGCTGCTGCTGCTGCTGCTGTGGCTGATTTTGCTGCCCGCCTTCTTCCTCGTCGGACAGCAGCGTCCAAGTCGCGTTCTCTCCGGGAATCTCCATCACTCTAATCACTTGACTGTGACACACCGCCGCCCATCCATTCTCCTCGTCCTAAAAGCAACAACCAAAACTAATGCGTCTCGTTGCCCAGCAAGCTTCCAATCAATCAGTCAATTGCTATGGCCGATCCATGCTCGTCCACGAGCCGCCGCGAGCGAATTCTCCATGCCGCCACGGATTGATACCTCGTTCCGGTCGATCGATCCATGCCCGCCCCGCAACGCCGACGCCACAGCCAATGGGGAGCCCAAAACCCTATAATTGTTTTACTTGCATTGCTTGTCCATGACATTTACTCTCTCTCTTCCTCTTTTTGAGAGCATTGACCTTCGAGCAAATCTGCGTGCGTAGTACTACAGTGCTTCTTTCGAGAGAATGTTGCTTCCCTTCTTCGAGATTGACAAACGCTCATCAAGTTCTTGACAAGTTCTTGAGCAGAACAAGACAAAGAATGATTTCCACTGAAATATCTCACGCATCGTCCAGCGCAGCCACGCCGGGAAGTATCCTCCCTTCGAGCAGCTCCAAGCTCGCGCCACCTCCGGTCGATATGTGGCTCATTCGATCCGCCACGCCCGCTTTCTCCACCGCCGCCACGGAGTCCCCGCCGCCGATGATCGTCGTCACCCCCTTGTCGCTCAACTCCGCGAGCTTTGCCGCGATGGCCTGTGTCAAACCAATCGACTGTGAGCGTCCTGCGTGAGTGGAAAAGCTTGCGTACCTCGGTTCCAACCGCGAAGTTCTTAAACTCGAACACTCCCATGGGACCATTCCAGATGATCGTGTTTGTGGAGTTCAAAGCCTGGCTAAACGCCTTGATGGAGTCTGGTCCGATGTCAAGGCCCATCCATCCATCGGGAATTGCCGAAGCAGACACAATCTAGCCAGCAAAAACCAGATCTTAGAGACGAAATCCAAGTGTTCTTGAGCGTACCTTGCTGCTGGCATCTGGTGCAAACTTATCGGCCACGACCACGTCGGTCGGAAGCAGCAGAGTGACACCCTTGAGCTTGGCTTTCTCCATGAGCTTGGTCGCGAGGATGAGCTTGTCCTCCTCGACGAGCGACGAGCCCACGGAGAGCCCCTGGGCTTTGAAGAAAGTGAAGATCATACCTCCTCCCAGCAGCAAAACGTCGCACTTCTCGAGCAGCGACTCCAAAACTCCGATCTTGGACGAGACTTTGGAGCCACCCACGATCGCAGCAAAGGGCCGCCTTGGATTCGAGATCGCCCCGACCAAGTAGTCGAGTTCCTGGCAAATGAAACGATCGAAGAAAGCAAAACTTAGCGAAGAGCTCGCAAAGAAAGAATCAAACTCTTACCTTTTGCATGAGAAATCCAGCCACAGAAGGCTTCAAGTACTTGGTGATCCCTTCCGTGGACGCGTGAGCCCTGTGCGCGGTGCCAAACGCATCGTTGACATACAAATCGGCCAGCGCTCCCAGCTTCCGGGCGTGCTCCTCATCGTTCTTCTCCTCCTCGGGATGGAAGCGCAGATTCTCGAGCAGCAGCACGCCGCCATCGTCGAGCGCCGCGATCTTCGCCTCCACCTCCGTGCCCACCGAGTCATCGGCGCGGTCAACCTATCGCGAGTCAATAGAGACTTTGTAGAGAACGAAGAACCCTAAATTTCTACCTTGACCCCGAGAAGCTCTGAGAGGCGTCCAACGAGAGGGGCGAGGCAGCAGCTCTTGGTGTATCCCTTGGGTCGCCCCTGGAAAGAAAGAAAAACGCCAGCGATGGGAAGGGATTGATCGATCGATCCAGCTTACCAGGTGGCTTGCAAGGATGATCTTTGCTCCAAGGCGGCGGAGGTACTGGATCGTCGGCACCGCCGCTCGCAGCCGCGTATCATCCGTGATGTTGAACTCGGCGTCGAGGGGGACATTGAGATCGGCGCGCAAGAACACGCGCTTGCCCTTCACATCGGCTTCCGTGAGATCGCCCACGCTCTTCTTCGTCACCGCCATCGCCAATGGATAGATCGATCGATCGCTCCTTCTTCCTCGCCTAAAAAGTTTAAGGGAAATTAATTGGAGAGAACGTTCTACAAATAGCGTCAGTAAAGTTGCGTATTTGCATTTGATGTCATGTTTTTCCGCGCAAAAGGAACCACAGGATGGGGCTTCCACCGCTGCCCTAAACTTGAAATTTCAAAGTCAAATCTTTCCCGCGGACATCCGACGGCTGCGATTAATGCCTTCCGATTTGCTCGCGGCAAACCGCTTGATTCAGTCGTACGGCAAGGCTGGCGACGTCGTGCGCGCGCGGAGTGTCTTCTCTGCACTCGGAGAGAAGAGGAACTTGTATTCGTGGGTTTTGCTCCTCACGGCTTATGCCCAGAATGGGCATCTGGAGGAGGCGAAGCGGTTATTTGATGGAATGCCCCAGCACAGCACGGTGGCTTACCGCGCACTTCTTGCATTCTTTGCAAAAGCGAATAGAATGCACGAAGCACAATATTTGTTTCACAATATGCCAGAATGGGATCTGGTTTCTTGGAATACTCTTCTTTTGGCATATGCCCAAGATGGGCAAGTTGAAAGAGCAAAAGCACTTCTTAGTTTAATGAAGGAGAGAGACTTGGTCACCCTATCCACAATACTAAAGGCGTTTTGTCAAGATTTTGATCTAGTTTCAGCTGAACAATTGTTCCTAAACATGCCAGAGAGAGATATTATTGTGTGGAGCTCCATGCTTACAGCGTATGCCCAAAGTGGGCGTTTTGCAAAATCTAGGCATGTGTTTTACTGCTCCATGCACGAGTGGAATCTTGCCTGTTGCAACGCAATGCTGTCTGCTTATGGTTCAGACGCAAGAGAAAATCTCGAGGAGGCCAAAGATTTGTTTTTTCGGGGTATGAAAGAGCACAATCTTGTGTCTTGCAATTCGATGCTAGCGATTTACTCCCTGTGCGGGCATGCTGAGGAGGCCCGGATCCTCTACGAAAAAATGCCCGAAAGGAGCATCGTCTCTAGCACCACACTGCTTGCTGCGTTAGTTTCTAGAGGTCAAGTGGATGAGGCAATGGAACTGTTTAGTAGAATGAAGGATTTGGATCTGGTTTGCTCGACCGTGATGCTCTCCGGTCTCTCTCGGAATGGAAATCTAGTAGAATTAAGGCGCCTCTTCCAAGCTATGGAACAACACGACATTATCTCCACGAATGTTCTTCTTGATGCTTATGCCCAAACTGGAAAAGTCGAGGAACTCGTTTGTGTCTTTAACCAAATGCCAGAATGGAACATTGTTTCCTTTAATACCATGCTTCACGCGCTTTTGGTCTGCCATAGAACAGATGAACTTAAAATACTATTTGATTCAATGCAAGAAAACGATCTAGTCTCGTGTAACATCATGGTTTCTGCATATGCTCAAGCAGGGCATATGCACATCGCGGAGCAAGTGTTCCATGGAATGAGGCAGCGAGATATCATATCATGGAACACTATGCTATCTGGATACGTTCTTAATGGGTTACCTGGAAAGGCACAAAGGCTCTTTGCTCAAATGCCTGAGACAAATGTGGCATCTTGGAATTCATTGCTGAATGGAAGTAAGGGCTTAAGAGCTGTAAGACTTTTAAATGAGTTGAGCTTGGTTGAAATGCCTGATGAGATATCTTTTGTTTCTATTTTGCTTGTGTGCAATCACTTAGGAAATGTAATGGATGCTTGCTCTAATTTTTGTTCTGTTACCAATGACTATGGTCTAAAGAGAATAATACGACATTACAGTTGCATGGTTGACGTTCTTGGCAGAGCAGGGTATTTGGACCTTGCAGAGTATCTAATTGATGTAATGCCATTTGTTCCAGAACCATGGATTAAAGTTTAATCCTAAGCATTTATTTTAAATAAATATCTTAAATGCTCTAATAATCTCTCTTGCTTGGTCGGATCACTTGCCTCCAAGCTTGGTGGTGGTGCCAACTTCTACTTGTCACTGGAGGAGGGCTAGTTTGACCTCTCATCGGCCTGATAAGCTGGTGAAGTACTTAACAAATGGATTTAATGTCAGAGCATTGCCAATACCATATGAGGTAAATATGGCGGCACTTTATCTAACATTAAACTAAGAGCCACTATACTAAGAAACCCTTAAACTTAAAGTTTTTTGTCGCAATTTTATCAAAGTTGGTGCTTCTGCCATAGCAACTTCTCGAAAACTCTTGCTGCCTCTTGCATTCCATAGAGCACCATATTGGATCGTGAAGTGGCTGCAAGTAAAAGTCATGGTGCTAAGTTTTTCTTGGGACTTGCACCTGGTACATTTGCAACAAGATGTTACTCCATGACATTTTTGCAAAAAGCCTAGGCTATAGTGGATATTCCAAAAATATCCAAGTATATCCTAGAATATTCTTTAATCTAATATAAACTGTTTACTTGAGCTTGCTTTGCTTAGAGCTTTTAAGAAATGGACATTTAGGCAAGACAGTAGAACAACTTATTTATCACACACTTCGTACTAGAAGGAGAAAATTATGGTCTCTACATTTCGAATCAAAACAATTGCTGAGGATTTACTTACACAAGACTTGTAACTTTAAGTCACTAAACAACACCTCTTCACTCCAGTTCCTTTCTTTGAGGAATCTAGGGCTTCCCTCATGTGCTCACAAAAAAGAGAGTTGTCAGTCTAGAGGACAAGATAAACACCTTTTGGCCACTTCCAACTTATCATCCTCACTTTAAAAAAACTCCTAGGACTTAAGAAGAAAAAATCAAATTTTGAGTATATAACTTGTCAAATATAGCATCTTCCAGAATTCCAGCATAACGGCTTACTAACACATTTCAAAGAGTTACCTTTGTTGGCATATTCTATTATTGACGTGTCTGCACTCGTTAAGAGTTAAGAGTTCATTTAAACTGAAAATCCCACCTCATATGATTTATCAGTTCTGAACATTATATCGCACTACCCAAGCCACAGTATACCCTTGTTCATCTTGAGCTGCAGTGCGGTGGTGGCAGTGGAAGCAGCCACCACGGGAAATGGTACCACTCCTCCTGCTCAACATTGCTGTGATTGTCCTGCTCATTAAGCAAGATGCTGCACCTATGATTAAAACCATCCGATTTCTTCACCAAGCTCTCTTATTTCAAAACCAAAGGAATGGTCCCATGGAGTTCTTGTTGATCTTCTTTTATTATTTGGCTGCTTTGGTTAGATCTCCAAAGAAGGTTGCTAAAAACCTAATCATGAGTTAGAACTTACTATATAGGCATGTGTTACTATAAAAGTGTTTCACATTGCTATTGACAGAACCCTGATGCATGTGTGGTTGGTTTTGAAACCATTTCTGCCTACTATTGTCAAAGTCAAGAGGTTGCATTAGTTCAAGTGGCTGATTAAGGACAATATTCCAGTTCTAACATTGTTAAATATTAGGACATATTAGTGGTGATTTAGTGACGTTTAACCATCATGACTCCAAGCTCTAAGTCATAAGTATCTTGAAATATGGATATATCCTGAAAACATGCCAAAGGAAAAGCATTTAAGATGTATTTCAACTAGGATACTAGGATGTATGGTTCATTTGCAAGAATGTTAAATTGAGATTAAACAATAGCTGCGATGTATTTATTGGAAATTCAAAGCAAACTAAGCGTCTTTAGAATTAAGTTATAAACTAACATGAAGTTTTAGTTTCCCATAGCAATTCCAATAAAGGATATTTATGAAATTGTTTTTGTCTATTTCTATATAAAACTAAATTACAGTCATTTTTTAATACTAAAAATGTACTCATAAGGCAATAAGGTTGTGGTTTACAGTATTTATTCACTGACCATACAGCTTTATTATCACTCGAATAAAGCACTATATTTCCATCAAATTGTATTTTTAAATAACAATTACTTCCTTGCCTAGAAGTGCCAGTCAACCATTTTACATTATTATAAACATATAAAACCAAATTACAATCTATATGCAAATAGAGAATTGCTTTTCCATTAGAGGATGTTAAGAACTCAGAAGAGAATAAACTTTTATATGGGATATGCATTGTACTTTTATAGATATTGCACCTAGGTGTGTTATGAAATCCAAGTAATTGCTCCTGATTATGTCGATAATTGATTATCATATACTCAAACCCATAAAGATATGTAACAATTGTAATAAATGATGCTCGTAATCTTATTAATATTTCATATGTTTGAGTAAAAAGGGTTGCAAGTGTATATCGTGCATGAAATCCATTCTCATTTTCTCCATTCGGATTTAGAGTACATGTATTTTCATCAAATAAGTATAAGCTAACTTGTACATTGTAAATAATTCCTCCATTGGTAATAGTTGTTAAAACATTTATATGCTGACCTCTTGTTAAATTATCATTTGGTATATTCATAATAGCAGCTGAAATTTGACTTAGAATATATAGTGTACTATTTAGAGTAAGTGCATCCACAATTCCATAGTCATACTCAAAATCTATAGCAAGATTTTGAAAAGGGAAGAAGAAAACATAAAGTGAATATAGAAAAAAATTCATTTCTTTTCCAATACTAAACTCTTAGTTGATAGAAAATGAAATACATTTCGTCTCCATTTTTCTTGTACTATACTTTAAAAGAATAAAACAATATTACAAATGTAAAGTTAACATTGTTATGCTCAGTGTTTGACAAGGCAAAGTGGAAGTAAAAGTTAAAAATACTTTTACGTTGTCTGTTTCTCTTAGTTTTACATCTTCTCAAAACGAGCTAAGCGATCTCCAGTTCAACGCATCTTCCTGCATGACAAATGTACACAACGTCAAAACTTATTTCAAACTTTCCTTGATTGTACCTGTGATTGCGAGGGTAGATAAACATCGTCTTGCAGATCCTCATCGTTGCCATTGTCCATGGCACCTTCGTCTCCTGCTGGAAACTAGACACCAAGACACCAAGACGATCAAACTCTACCAAGCACGTATAGCAAGCAAGTAAAAAACTTACTGGTATGATGTCGTCCTCGAAATCCCTCAGGCCTTGACCATGATCATCCTCGAGTGATTCAGGAAACTCCGGTGCTTGTTCAAGAAGAACTAAGTCGGTGGATCCAGTTACAGATTTTAGAAACTGCTTTGCGAAGAATGAATCTTCCAGACTAGGAGAGAACTTGACAGGAAGCTCTTCGAGTTCGGTGGATCCCGCTTCCTCGGCTTCGTTGAGAAATCCAACTTTTGACAAGCCTGCTATATCAACCTTGAGATCGTCTAGCTGCGCTGAGCTGAGATTCGTCGATATATTTGCTGCTTCTTCATCTGCTTGACTAGAAGAAGTGTTCTTCGACAAGCCCGTATCAACTTTGAGCTCGGCTAGCTGCCTGTCAAGAAGCGAGCCCAGACTTGTGGACACCGTTTCCGCTTGACTGGAAGTTGTATCCTTGGACAAGCCTGCCATCTCCGCGAGAGCTCGCAAGGAAGCCTCCAATCTTCGAAGACGTTTCCAGTCGAGCTGCTTGGAGTCGCAAGCCAGGTAGTGGAAGCCAAAGTTCAGAGACTCGTGGTACCCGCCGAGAGGAACAAAGCCTTGCAGCTCATGGTCCTCCCAGAGAGCGTCGCGTCTTCCCTGCGTGAGCTCCTCCTGGCTCACGGAGAGCCTTGACAAGGATTCCTCTGAGAAGACACTGAGCGCCTGGAAGAAGCTCTCCGCCCGCTCCAAGGCATCCAGGAAGCTCCTCCTGAGCTCGTCGGACTCTGCGGTGGCCCGCACGGTGTCCTCGCTGCCTGCGAGCCATGCTGTGAAGATGACGAGCGCCGGGAGCATGGTTGGATCGCCGATCGCCGCCAGCGTGCGCACGGCTTTGAATGCGCACGCGAGAGTCTCATGCAGCGAACTCCTTGGCGGAGAAGTCTTGCAGACGAGGCCGAGATGGAAGTCTTCGATGGAGCACGCTAGTATCGTCACGATCTGTATTCCCAGGAAAGCTTTTCCCCTGGTTGGCTCTGCTGGATCGCAAACTTTAGAGGGAGTTCCCACCGATCGCTCGAGTTCGTTCAGAGTGCCATCCAGCACCTTCTGCAAATTGTCGAAACTGCAAGCGTATCAAAACCATTTGCGTGTCTCAAGCTAATGCACTCACCCAGTTTTCAGGAGTAAGATCTCGAAGAGCCTCAAGAGATTGTCAAAGTTGGACGATCCTTGGCTGGCTTCAGCGATGGCGTCCGACTGAAAAATCCCCATCAACTTCTCTCATCGTGCTCAACAAATGGATACCTTACTCTCCAGAAGAAGGAGAAGGTTGCTGTGGCTCGTTGGAGACGGCATCTTCACAAACAAGCTCCTCAGATAGTGATACACAGCACGAACTCTATCTCCCGCATGGGTCGCCAGGATCGCCAGCTAGAGATCAAACTCTTAGAACCGAAAGAACGAACAGAAAAACAATCGAGATCGTCGCACCTGGCCATGCGCTCCACCTTCGCAGTGACAAAGCCTCGAGGCTTGCACGTAGTAGTCCTCCGCGGTGGAATAGTTCCTCTTGCCAAGGCTCACTCCATACACTTCCCTGTAGCGAGCCAAGTCCCCGAGGCGCAGTAGCAGCCGGTGACAAGTCTCGCGGAACTCTCTCGCCTCGCTCTCGTCCAAGCTCTTGTCACAGCTATCCGAGACGATCCCACCGAGGCCATGCCTCACTCTCACCCTGGAAACAAGCTCCGAGTAGAAGTTGGAGCTGCTGGCTATGAAGTCGATCAAAGGCGCCACCACATTCTTGAGCGTCTTCTTGCCGACGCGGTCGCCCTTTTGCTTCTCGGCGGCTCTTTGCATCTGGGAGCGAAACTCCGTGATCTTGGCGTGGTGGGCTTTCCAGAGCGCCTTCTCGATCTCGGAGCTGAGGGAAGGAGCAGCCAGGAGAGGGCCGTAGCCATCGTCCCGGAGCGCGTGGACCTCTTTGAGATCCGCGTCTTTGCTCTCGAGCTTGGCTTTGAGATCTCTCTCGGCCTGGCTGAGCAAAGTGAGCAAAGAAGATTTGCGGCAGCGATAGATAGATACCTGGGAGGAGTCGATGCGGCGGTGCTTGGAATGTCGGCTTCGCTGCTCCTCCGGGGTGGTTTCTTGCGTGCGCAGTCTCTACAGAAATCTCTCACTCACTCGAGAAACAGAAAGAGTGAAACACACACCTTTCTCTTGCGCTTCTCCATCGCCATTTTAGGGTTTAGAGGCTGCGCCTGTGCTGCCACCTCGGGCTCCTGGAGACGAGCCACGAGTACGACTTTGGGATCAGGAGCACTACTGCTGCATGGTCACTCGGGCCAGCTTGAGGAAGCCCACGACTTGATTGAGAGCATGCCGTTTCTTCCCAGCGAGGAGCTTGCTAGGCGCGTGCGTAGACCGAGCACAATAGAAGGCTTGTAGCGATCATCCCCTAGAGTTTCTTCCCTAAGCCGTGGACACACTCTCGTCTTCTATTTTTTGACACAATGGAATCCAGAAGTCTCAAACACCACCCTGGAAAGCTTGGAACCGATTCGAGTCGCGCACAACGATCTGGCGCTTAAAGTATAAGCTTGGTTGCGGTGTGGCAGTAGGACTCGCACCGCTGTTCCTGGAGCGGTGCTCATCATCCCAAACGCGATGGTCAGCTTCTCGTTGTGCAAGCAAACCAGCTGCTCTTTCACCTCGGTCTGGAGAGTAGCCCCGCTCCACCACTTCCACAGCTCCTCGTAGATCTCGTCGTTCTTGGGATCTCCAACGACAAACTTGTGGTTGACCTTGATCAAGCTTAATTAAAAACTTAGTTTTATATATAATCATGGTATTTGAGTTACAAGAACAATAAAGAAGACAATACAAAAGCTCATTCCTCAATGAGCTTTTGTATTGTCCTCTTTCTTGTTCTTCCATTTCTTTTTTTTTTGTTTTTTTTTTCTTTTATTTTTTTCCTTCTTTTCATTCATTTTCATGGTTTCCTCCTCTTTTGACAATGGAGTAGCAATTGATGGCAACATTTATGATAGGTTTTTTAGCTTTACTGTTAATCTTCAAGTCTAGTTAAATTTTCTCTATAGGAATTCTGAGGATGATGTATATTATTAGTTTAATCATTTTATAGTGATTACTATTTATCATTTTTGGGATGATGCCTGATTGATGTTTACATGAGTTAGAAACTATGTTACAATAATATAATGCTTTGGGCATAGTTATTTGTGCAGATTGGAGTCTTTTCTCATATATCTTCAAATGCATATTTAGACATGCTGACAACTATAACGATACATTACAATAATTGCATTGTTTTTGTTAAGGACCTTTTGAATCAATTATGTATTTTGTTTTTACTTTCGAAGCTTTTTGCTTCATGAGAGTATAATATGTTAGAGTGGATTAAGTTTGGAATGTTATAACTAGTACTTCATCATAATCTTGTAGAACTTATGCATGCATTTGCCCCAACTGATGTTCTTCGATTGATATAATATTATAAGACATCACTTTTTCCATTTATTGTACACATGCTTTAACTCCACTTCCTATAGATCCTTTTGTTCTAATAAAGATTTATATTATTGTTATTCATATTTAAAAATAAGGGCAAAGATATAGTTGTGGCTGTGATATTCACTATTAGGCATGTGATGAGGTTAGCCACATATATCAACATGTCAATATTTCCCAAATTGGCATTTTTATTTCCTTGGGGGAAGCCTTGGTGTCAACAACATTATGTTGGTGTTATTGTAGTGGAAAGTCTTGACATAAAAATTCTTCTAAGAAATTAAGAGTAACATGAGTAATGAATGGTATTTATGCAAAATCAAAAGTATTAGTAAAAGGTTCACTTGGCACTAATTCATCTAGTATTTATTTTTCAAGCTCATTTTTATAATAAGAAATCCCTTATTATTCTCTTTACATTGGTCAATACATGTTTGAGTTTATCTTTTATTACTTATTTTATTGCTATATATTTCTGTTATGACGGGAAAATCTTTAACCAAAAATGACATATTCAAAATTAAGATATATAAGTATATATACAAAACCATCTCTAATATACCTCTACCATTACCACTTTATTATTTTACCACCACTTTTTTTCTATAATATAATATTTAAAGTCAACTAATTTTTCCTTTTCATATCTTATATCCTATTTCCTATCTACTCTATCATAAGTTTTATCTTTCACCACCTTTATAAAGTGATTTGCTATATAACTCTCACATTTAAGTATACCCTCTACCTTACAAAGATTTTTTGCCACTATTCAAAAATGTTTTCTTAATCATCTAAATTTGCCATATTTTTTACAATAATATTTTATGATATTAACAACAAAATAAAAAATAATCTATAGACTATATAAGGAGCCCTTCAACATTAGAGTATGGAGTGTGGAGAGATTTTAGTCTAAGTTTTCTTTTTTAGTTTTACAATGCTTTTTTGTTTTGAGTTTTACTTCCTTGAAAAATATAGAAATTAAGAGTTAGTAAAAATCCTTCTCTTTTCTCTTTCTCTCAAAACATAAGATATATAGAGATAATGTGCTACTATGTTGTAAATATAACTACATGTATCAAAAGTTATCTATTAGTGAGTTATTTTGGATATTTTTCTCTTACTGCCACAATAATAGGATTGCTAGCCCTTTTATCAATCTCTACCCAAGTTCGTTGAAAAACTAACATTATATGTCGGATAAACATAAGGTAGGAACTTCTATGTGTTTCTTTATCCCAAATGTGACTACAGCTAATCCTTTAGAATATTCTTTCCTTACTGCCACGACAGCAGGAAGTTAGAATTGCTAGACCCTTTATTAGTTCTTTTTGTGCTAGCAAAGTTAACCGGACATTTGGAGTGTATCAGACCTGACACGTATAAGGACACAATTAATAAAGAGTAGAATTATTTATATAAAATAAATTAAATTTAAAATATATAATTTATTTATATATAGTTTTTCAAATAAAAAATTATTCTTATTATTATATTTTTTTTCAAAATAGTTAAAAACTAAAATTTCAGCACGTGAGGGCCAAGTGTACAGCTACAATGCCGTATACTAATATTAGTATAGTGGGATTTTGGTAGCCATCAGGTTGGTTTCAATCCGGACCACTTGCTCCTGTATATAAGCTAGGGTTTTTGGGCTAATTGATATGCACATTTTCTGTATTCCCTTTCTATATTCCATATTTCTGTATTTGTGATGTGTGTAAAGTGTTGGATTGGTTATGGGACGTTGGTTTAAAGTTGAAGCGGTCAAAGTGCGTGTTTGGGTCCAAGGACACAACTTATCTTAGGTACCGTATTTCTCGTGAAGGTTTGCAAGTTGATCTTGACAAACTTGTAGCCGTTCTAAAGTTCCCTACTTTGAAGTGTGTGAATGATGTGCAGCGCTTCTTGGGGAAGGTGCAATATCTCGATCGTTTTGTGGATCATCTTTCTGATCGCATTGCACCGTTGCGAGCGTTGCTGAAGTCATCAACGTCATCTTTCATCTGGTCTTCAGATTGTGAGTAGGTGTTTGTGAATCTCAAAGAGCTATTGATAACTCCTCCGGTTTTGGTATATCCTAACTACACTCGACCTTTTATTTTGCGGGTAGATGCTTCTAATATTGGTCTTGGAGGTGTGTTGATGCAAGAAAGCCCAAGTATGCTTAGTCAGCATCATCCCATTGCATATATAAGCCGTACGTTACAACTAGCAAAAATGAACTACTCCACGATAGAGAAGGAGTGTTTAGCAGCAGTTTGGGGTTTCGAGAAACTTCATGTCTATCTATATGGTTCTCGGACATTACTTGAAGATGATCATGCTGCCGTTACTTCATTATTGAAGTGGAAGAACCTAGTTGGTCGTACTACTCGGTGGGCTTTGAAGCTTCATATATATAATTTTGATGTTGTTCATTGCCCAGGGAGTTTTATGGCTAATGCTGATGCCCTTTCTCGAGCTCCTCTTCCTTCTCCACTCTCTTCTCATGTTTCTGATGAGCCTATTGTTCCAGCATCTGTGGATTTTCTAGACGAGGATTCTATGCCGTCGGTAGTTGCTATACTTGACGTTCAGTGTCCACAAGGTGCAGAGCAAGATCTACCTTTGCTTGATGAGGTTCGTGAGGCTCAACAGATTGAGCTGTGGATTTGAAGGCTTCCAGATGGGTTTGAGAATCCTGCATCACTTGCTGATGACTTGCCTTTTCGGCATTTACATTCTCAATGTCGTCTTGAAGATGGCCTTCTTTATTTTGTGGGGACGGATCCTGATGATCATTTACGGCTGGTGGTGCCTTCTATCTTTATTCTGCGATTTCTTCATGCCGACCATGATTCTCCTATTCTAGGTGGGCATATGGGACATTGTCGTGTGGCCGAGAAGCTGTGCAGATCTTTCTATTGGCTGGAGATGCGATGTGATATTATTCGGTATGTGCGTAACTATGTTTGGTGCCAAGCTCGTAATACTCCTCCTTGTGCTGCGGAAGGACGGTTGGAGTCAATTGCAGTCTCCCGTCCATTTGAGTTGGTGGTGTTTGATCTTATGGGACCTTTTCCATGGTTGACTGTTGGCAATGAGTATGTTATTATTGCTTTTGACTACTTGACTCGTTGGGTGGAAGTTGGTGCTCTTGCTAGCGCCTCTGCAACTGCTGTTGGATACTTCCTCCTCAATCGAGTGGTGTTCCAGCATTCTTGTCCAGAGCGAATTCTTTTAGATAATGGTCCTGCATTTATGGCTGAGGCATTTCATGTTTTGACATCTCGGTTGGGGATATGCCACACTTTCATGAGTGCTTATCATCCACAGCCAAACGGTCTGGTGGAACGGCTCGTTCGGACATTCAAAGGGATGATTGTGAAGTATGTGAACTTTCAGCATTTGGATTGGGATGGTTATTTGCCGTCTCTTTGGTATGCCTATGTCACAAGGGTGCAAAGTTCTGTTGGTGCTTCACCATATAAACTCCTATATAGTTATGATCCAATATTACCAATAGAGTTGGGTTTACCTTCACGATTGCTACAAGCTCCCGATGCTAGGTCGTGGGATCAATATTTGACGAGCATTCTTCCACTTGTCTGAGCAGAGTCTACCGAACACTTAAGCCGCATACAAGTGGGACAACAACGGCGCTACAACTCCCATCATCGTCCACCTGCGGAGTACAAAGTGGATGATTTGGTGTTAGTCCGGTTTCCCTATCTTACGGTACGTGGTTTATCTAAGGCGCTCCTTGCACAGTGGAAAGGACCATATCGAGTGTTGTGGCAAGTTGGACCATAAGTTTATAAGGTTCGGCATGACATTCAGTAGGCCGATCCTCCAGAGATTGTGCATGTTTAGCGGTTGAAACGCTTCATACAAAGGGATCAGGAGCAATTAATACCATCTACAGATCCACCGATGCCTCCTCCTAACATTCCTCTAGATCCTGGCCCGTCTATAAGAGAACCCTAACGGCCTTCCATTATTCCGAGAGGAGGGGATGATGTGAGGGCCAAGTGTATGGCTACGATGCCGTATACTAATATTAGTATAGTGGGATTTTGGTAACCATCAGATTGGTTTCAATCCGGACCACTCGCTCCTGTATATAAGCTACAGGCTAATTGATAATTGGGCTAATTGATATGCACATTTTTTGTATTCGCTATCTATATTCCAAGCACTCACAAGCACTTTTATATATTGCTAATAATAATTTCTTTTTAAGTTACTCTTTGGATTTATGTAAGCGACTAAATTTTCCATTCTACTTTAGTCACTTAACCACACCTTCGACCACTTGGAGGAGTCTCATT